TTTTATTAGATAAACTGATTTTTTAAACTATTTTTTTTTAAACATACTCAGATTTTAATGCATCAGCACTTTGTTGAACTGTAAAAACGAAATTTATGTAAATAAAGTGTTTTGCAAAAATCAAGAAATCTCTCTCTCTCTCTCTCTCTCTCTGTCTCTCTCTCTCTCTGTGTGTGTCTCTTGGCTGTGTGTGTGTGTGTGTGTCTCTCTCTCGGCTGTGTGTGTGTGTGTGTGTCTCTGTGTGTGTGTGTGTCTCTCGGCTGTGTGTGTGTGTGTGTGTGTGTGTGTGTGTGTGTGTGTGTTGTGTGTCTCTGTGTGTGTGTGTTGTGTGTGTGTTCTCGGCTGTGTGTGTGTGTGTGTGTCTCTCGGCTGTGTGTGTGTGTGTCTCTGTGTGTGTGTGTGTGTGTCTCTCGGTGTGTGTGTGTGTGTGTGTGTCTCTCGGCTGTGTGTGTGTGTGTGTGTGTGTCTCTGTGTGTGTGTGTGTGTGTGTGTGTGTGTGTGTCTCTCGGCTGTGTGTGTGTGTGTGTGTGTGTGTGTGTCTCTCGGCTGTGTGTGTGTGTGTGTGTCTCTGTGTGTGTGTGTGTGTGTGTGTGTGTGTGTGTGTGTGTCAGATGTCCGGCTTTCAGGAGGTGACAGATTGGAGAGAGCTGTCAGGACAAACAGCAACATGTGGATACGAAGAGGAGCTCCACCGACAAACACAAGTGCTGGATGTGATTTTAACACCGGAATCAAGCTGCACAGAGCAGGTTGGTTTGAGCCTTTAGCTAACGTTAGCATCCACACACAGCAGCTCCCGATCACACACGTCTGAAGGGGATTAACAGAGGGCTTCTGGAGCAGAGTTCTGACCAGTTGCAGTTTGTGGATAGACTTGAGAGGGAGACTTATTTTGAGCCCCCCCCCCCCATTACAAAATGACTGTATCACGAAATGCCATTTAGGTTTACAATCATTATTAGTATGCAAAGTCATCAATGAGGTCGTCACATGACAGCTGCTAGCGCACAAATTCAACCCGATCGATGTCTGATAGGTGTGCTGGCCACAGAGCAGGATCAACTGGTTGTAGTGAGTAGTGATAGTAGCATCTGTAGCTGAAGACGTGGTGCTTGATGGTCCTGGTGGCGTGCTGGGTGAGGCTGCTTCAGTAGACGTGGTGTTTGATGGTCCTGGTGGCGTGCTGGGCGAGGCTGCTTCAGTAGACGTGGTGTTTGATGGTCCTGGTGGCGTGCTGGGCGAGGCTGCTTCAGTAGACGTGGTGCCTGATGGTCCTGGTGGCGTGCTGGGCGAGGCTGCTTCAGTAGACGTGTGTTTGATGGTCCTGGTGGCGTGCTGGGTGAGGCTGCTTCACTAGACGTGGTGTTTGATGTCCTGGTGGCGTGCTGGGTGAGGCTCTTCAGTAGACGTGGTGCTTGATGGTCCTGGTGGCGTGCTGGGTGAGGCTGCTTCAGTAGACGTGGTGCCTGATGGTCCTGGTGGCGTGCTGGGCGAGGCTGCTTCAGTAGACGTGGTGTTTGATGGTCCTGGTGCGTGCTGGGTGAGGCTGCTTCAGTAGACGTGGTGCTTGATGTCCTGGTGGCGTGCTGGCGAGGCTGCTTCAGTAGACGTGGTGTTTGATGGTCCTGGTGGCGTGCTGGGTGAGGCTGCTTCAGTAGACGTGGTGTTTGATGGTCCTGGTGGCGTGCTGGGTGAGGCTGCTTCAGTAGACGTGGTGTTTGATGGTCCTGGTGGCGTGCTGGGCGAGGCTGCTTCAGTAGACGTGGTGTTTGATGGTCCTGGTGGCGTGCTGGGCGAGGCTGCTTCAGTAGACGTGGTGTTTGATGGTCCTGGTGGCGTGCTGGGTGAGGCTGCTTCAGTAGACGTGGTGCTTGATGGTCCTGGTGGCGTGCTGGCGAGGCTGCTTCAGTAGACGTGGTGTTTGATGGTCCTGGTGGCGTGCTGGCGAGGCTGCTTCACTAGACGTGGTGTTTGATGGTCCTGGTGGCGTGCTGGTGAGGCTGCTTCAGTAGACGTGGTGCTTGATGGTCCTGGTGGCGTGCTGGGTGAGGCTGCTTCAGTAGACGTGGTGTTTGATGGTCCTGGTGGCGTGCTGGGTGAGGCTGCTTCAGTAGACGTGGTGTTTGATGGTCCTGGTGGCGTGCTGGGCGAGGCTGCTTCAGTAGACGTGGTGTTGATGGTCCTGGTGGCGTGCTGGGTGAGGCTGCTTCAGTAGACGTGGTGTTTGATGGTCCTGGTGGCGTGCTGGTGAGGCTGCTTCAGTAGACGTGGTGCTTGATGGTCCTGGTGGCGTGCTGGGCGAGGCTGCTTCAGTAGACGTGGTGTTTGATGGTCCTGGTGGCGTGCTGGTGAGGCTGCTTCAGTAGACGTGGTGCTTGATGGTCCTGGTGGCGTGCTGGGCGAGGCTGCTTCAGTAGACGTGGTGTTTGATGGTCCTGGTGGCGTGCTGGGCGAGGCTGCTTCAGTAGACGTGGTGTTTGATGGTCCTGGTGGCGTGCTGGGCGAGGCTGCTTCAGTAGACGTGGTGCTTGATGGTCCTGGTGGCGTGCTGGGCGAGGCTGCTTCAGTAGACGTGGTGCTTGATGGTCCTGGTGGCGTGCTGGTGAGGCTGCTTCAGTAGACGTGTGCTGATGGTCCTGGTGGCGTGCTGGCGAGGCTGCTTCAGTAGACGTGGTGTTTGATGGTCCTGGTGGCGTGCTGGGCGAGGCTGCTTCAGTAGACGTGGTGCTTGATGGTCCTGGTGGCGTGCTGGGTGAGGCTGCTTCAGTAGACGTGGTGTTTGATGGTCCTGGTGGCGTGCTGGGCGAGGCTGCTTCAGTAGACGTGGTGCTTGATGGTCCTGGTGGCGTGCTGGTGAGGCTGCTTCAGTAGACGTGGTGCTTGATGGTCCTGGTGGCGTGCTGGGTGAGGCTGCTTCAGTAGACGTGGTGCTTGATGGTCCTGGTGGCGTGCTGGGTGAGGCTGCTTCAGTAGACGTGGTGCTTGATGGTCCTGGTGGCGTGCTGGGCGAGGCTGCTTCAGTAGACGTGGTGCTTGATGGTCCTGGTGGCGTGCTGGGTGAGGCTGCTTCAGTAGACGTGGTGCTTGATGGTCCTGGTGGCGTGCTGGGCGCTGGCTCCGTGTCACCCTTAGTAACAAACTTCAGCATTGACCCTGTTATGACAAGAAATCCATCATACAATTAATTATTAAGATTAGTTTTGGTCTTAATGGTAAATTACACAATGAAATGAATGTAAATACGACTACAACTAATAATAATATTCATTATGATTTGATGATATTTCTATATTTAAATATTTTTATATGCTTATTTTTATATTTAGGTTCTATATTCCTACACTGCTGTTTGCTGCTGCAAAGCTTTAAATGTCTCCATTGTGGGTCAAATAAAAGATTATCTTATTTTATCTAATCTTATATGACTGTTATGAATTAAATTCACCAAGAGATGGCGACATTTTACCTCCATAAAAATAACCCAAAACTTCTATTGATAGCATGATTGATAGGCTATAAACCTGAGCCAACATACGACCACCACCTGGTCAGTTAACCACTCCTTCTTCAACAGAGGTGAATTAATGCAGTTAAGACATGCAATAAATGATAATCAGGGCCGCTGGAACATTTAATCTCCAGTCCACATGGAGACACAATGATCCTCTCTTCTGTCTCATGATTGGGGCGGCAGTAGCTCAGTCTGTAGGGACTCAGTCTGTAGGGACTCAGTCTGTAGGGACTCAGTCTGTAGGGACTCAGTCTGTAGGGACTCAGTCTGTAGGGACTTGGGTTAGGAACCAGAGGGTCACCGGCTCAAGTCCCGGTGCAGACCAAGTATGGAAGTTGGTCTGGTAGCTGGAGAGGTGCCAGATCACCTCCTGAGCACTGCCGAGGTTCCCTTGAGCAAGGCACCGAACCCCCTCCCCACCATCAGCTCAGGAGCGCCTGCTGTGGGCCGCTCCGTCACTCTGACATCTCTCCCTTAGTGCATGTTCACAGGATCCTGTTTGTGTGCACGTGTGTATATATACTTCAGCCTGTGTGTGTGTTCATGACTACAGAGTGTAAAAACTGAAATTGCAGGGATAAATCTTTGACTTTTTCTTTCTTTTGCTTGCTCGCGATTCATATTGCCGTTTGGAGGCCATCTCTCCACCTACATCCAACTGCCTGTCGGCGCATCTGACCGCTGATTGGTCAGATGCTGCGTGATGTCAATCATTGCAGCAACGCGTGCGGTGTCAGATTACTCATCTTTTTTTTTCCTCTCCTGCCTCGGGCTTGACTTGGTGCTCTACGCGCGCCTCACGGCAGCGATGCACGTCCTTTGCGCATTTGCAGAGAATGCGTCCCCTTACGCAAAATGGGGCCCCTCCATGGATCGTGGGGCCCTACGCACAGCGCGTGTTCTGCGTGTAGGGAGGGGCGGCGCTGAATGTGTGCGAGGTGCATGTCTCTCAGTAGCTGAGTGTAAACCACAGTTTCCCCTCAGGGATTAATAATATGTAAAAAAGAAATATCTTTATTAGAGATGCTGAGGTCTCTTTGAGTCCAGGTCCTGAGAGAAATCTTTAATGATTTGTTACTGAATGAATAAAAACTGATTGATTCAATGTTTTATATCAACATAAAGTCACAGCTTCCCTCCATGTGTCTTTGTGTCTTCAGTGTTTCCTGCAGACGTCCAGCAGCTGTCGGTGGGTGAAGAAGATCCTCATGAGCAGCAGGAGGGGAGCTCCAGTCTGGACCAGGAGGACTCTGAGACTCTGCACATTAAAGAGGAACAGGAGGAACTGTGGAGCAGTCAGGAGGAACTGGAGGAGGCTGATATCAAGTTCCCCTTCACTCCTGTCTCTGTGAAGAGTGAAGATGATGAAGAGAAACCTCAGTCCTCACAGCTTCATCACAGACACACTGAAGAGATGGAAACAGGAGCTGATGGAGAGGACTGTGGAGGAGCAGAACCAGAGAGGGACTCAGATCCAGAGAGAGTTTATATCCAGAGATCGAGGTCAAGACTGAAGACTCATCTGAACCTGAAACTGAAGACTTTCATGATGTTTGGAAGAGGAACAGAAAACATGAGTCAGATTTAAATGATAAGAGAACAAAGACACACTGCTGCTCTGAGTGTGGGAAAACATTTCAAAGGAAATGGAATTTGACCACACACATGAAGAACCACACTGAACAGAAACCCTTCAGCTGCTCTGAGTGTGGGAAAACATTTCAAAGGAAATGGAATTTGACCACACACATGAAGAACCACACTGAACAGAAACCCTTCAGCTGCTCTGAGTGTGGGAAAACATTTTCCCGTAAAGGATCTCTGTCCAGACACATGATTCTTCATTCAGGAGAGAAACCCTTCAGTTGCTCCGTGTGTAGTAAAAGATTTAATCAAAAGCATATTCTGACACTCCACATGGCTCATCACAGAGGGGAGAAACCCTTCAACTGCAGCGTTTGTGACCAAAGATTCTCTTGGCCTTTCCAGTTACAGAGACACACTCGTGTTGGCTGTCCTTCTTCAGAGACTCATGAGAACCAAACTGAGCTAAACAGAGAAGCAGAAACAGGAGAGGACTGTGGAGGACCAGAACAAGCCAGGAACTCAGATCCAGAGAGACGTTTACAAACACAGACTGATGTCAAGACTGAAGACTCTTCTGAAGCTGAACCCAAAGTGTGTCAGAATGTGAAGGACACAGGAGTACATCAGTCAGGTGTGACCTCTGTGGACAGAGTTAAAGATAAAGAGCCATGCACTGACGAGAAGTCAAATAGCTCCTCGAAAGCTAATGTTTCCATACACATGACAACTCACAAGGGGGGAAATGTCATCAGCTGCTCAGATTGTGGTAAAATCTTTACCCAGAAAAGTAGCCTGAACAGACACATGATGAGTCACAGAGGAGAGAAACCGTTTGTTTGTTCTGAGTGTGGGAAAAGTTTCAGCCGAAGGTCTTATCTGACATCTCACATGGGAAATCATGATGAAGAGAAACTCTTCAGCTGCTCTGAGTGTGGTAGAAGATTTAACTATAGAGGAAGTCTAACTGCACATATGATCACTCACAGAGGAGAGAAACCGTTCAGCTGCTCAGAGTGTGGGAAAAGATTTAACAGTAAAGCAAATATGACCAGACACATGAGAATTCACACTGGAGAGAAACCCTTTGGCTGCTCTATGTGTGTTAAAACATTTAAACAGAAGTCTCATCTGACAATCCACATGGCTCATCACAGAGGGGAGAAACCCTTCAGCTGCACCGTTTGTGACAAGAGATTCATTTGGACTTTTCAGTTAAAAAGACACAAGTGTGTTGGTGGTCAGGCTTCAGAACCCAATCAAATCCAAACTGAGCTAAACAGAGAGGCAGAAACAGGAGCTGATGGAGAGGACTGTGGAGGATCAGAACAAGTCACCAACTCAAATTCAGAGAGACATTTACATCCAGAGATTGAGGTCAAGACTGAGGACTTTTCTGAACCTGAGACTGATGACAGTGATGATTGGAAGGAGAGCAGAGAACATGAGTCAGGTTTAAACTCTGTGGACAACATGAACGATAAGAGAAGAAAGACACACAGCTGCTCTGAGTGTGGTAAAACATTCATAAGGAAAGGGCATCTGACGTCACACATCAAAATTCACACAGGAGAGAGACCATTCTGCTGCTCTAAATGTATCAAAAGATTCAGCTGTAAAGGAGCTCTGCACAGACACATGATGAGTCACAGAGCGGGGAAAGCCTTCAGGTGTTTGAAGTGTGGCAAAAGATTCAGTCAGAAGAGATATCTGAGCAGACACCTGACGTGTCATACCTGGAGAAAATTATTCAGCTCCTCTGAGTGTGGAAAATCATTTCACCAAAAGTGTCATCTGAAAGTTCACATAGCTCATAACCGAGGGGAGAAACCCTTCAGCTGCACTGACTGTGACAAAACCTTCTTTTGGCCCTTTCAGTTAAAAAAACACAAGTGTGCTGGCCGTCAGGCTTCAGGGCGTCAGAGACCAGAAACAGGAAGTGATGGAAATGTTTGTGGAGAACCAGAAGAAGACAGGATCTAAGACGAAGAGAGACAATGACATCCAGAGACTGAAAGTAGAGACTCCTCTGACTGTGAGACTAAACACAGCCATGAACATCAAACAAATAATGAATTTTAATGTTTCCCCTCACATTCATTTGGAGGGGAGTCTTTCAGGCCCCACGTTGTAATATCACAGAGTAGACATACTCTCCAACAAGCAGAAACCCAAAAACCAATCAGAGCATGGAGTTCTAATAATGTTTAACACCACTGATGTCTGTCAGTGTAGAGCTGATTCTAATAATGTTATACAGTCTTCTTCTGGTACTTCTATTTTTAAACTACATCACTTCTACGTTCATGATGTTTTGTGATGATGATCTCATACTTGCTCGTAAGCTGCCGTTTAATCAGAAAAGGGCAGTGTAGGAGCCAAAATGCTTGTTTTATTGCTCCTTGCAAGAAACCCCAACACAACACTGCAAATTTGTATGAGTGTAATTCCGACACTGAACATGAGGTGGAGTCTTGACTTATACTGTGCATAAAGACAAGGCTCTAGGTAATTGGATTCAGGTGTGTTTGGAGGCTTATAGTTTTTTGACCGTGTCGGGTTGACTTCGATGTAACAGTTTATGCTTCATGATGTGTTGGACAGAATGAGACATTTATTTGCATTATTGAACCTTGATCATGAACTTTAATAAACAGATTGAAGACTCTGTTGGAAAACAGTACCAGACATTTGTGTGTTGCAACGCCAGGTGCACGCGTCCACAACTCACATCTCAGTGGTGACTGTTTTGGACATTATAGGGTTTGTTTTCAAATGTTCAGCACAGGCAGAACCTGTCTCCAGAAACACAAGTGGCTGCTTTCCACCCCGGACTCTCCAGCTGCTCTCCTCCGACTCGCCTGGTCGCTCAGCTCCTCTTGTTCTTACATGTCCTGCTCCACAGTGGGCAGTGGGCTGCGTTCTGGACCCCTCCACACTGCTCTGGTGGCTAGCAGCTCCATCGAGGTGCCAAACCAGCAGTCTTTAAGTCGCTCTGAAAAGTCTTCAGACTGTTTTAAAGAAGTTTTAACTGTCAGTAATGAGTCAGATTCCTTCTTCAGCTTTTAAGTGAATTTGATTGAGTTGTTTGGATGACTGAGTTTCTGTGTGCTGTGATGTAATGACCTCCTGAACACAGGAAAGACTTCAAAACATGAAACTGTTTTTAAACCGTGTTGAGGCTTTTCATCTCGAACAATCTGTAACCGCTCTCTCTACACCTCGGTCATCTTGTGCTCTTCTCTCATCTCTTTCCTCACTTGAGCAGCTCGTCCACTGCTCAAAGCTCTGAACACATGTCCAAACATCCTTCACACTGTTCCTCCACCTGAATTGTTTGTTCCAAACTTGAACACCAATCAGAGTTCTTCACAATAAGGCGTGTAGCTGACCTGATTGACAGGTGGGCGCGGTGTAACGGTTTGTCAGGAGGTTTAAAACCCGCCTCAGCTCCAGCTCTCAGCCTGTCGTTAGGTTGACTGAAAGTTAGACTGAGACAGCATTTCCAGCATGGAGACCGCCATCGATGGGACTCCAGCGCCCCCTGCAGGAACAGACGGGGGACGACACTCAGGCGTCAAACATTAACAGTCTGTGATTGGTCCCTACACTTCCTGTTTTTAAAGTGACTCAGAGTGGTTTGTGTTCTTGTGGCTTTGACTGGTTTTTCTTCTTCTGGTGTTCTTTCTTTGTTGACTGTTAAGCACGTTGTAAACACAGCTGTTGTGTTCTGTAAATAAAGGCAGACTGGATGAAGTTCATGTAGACCAGCTGACGGTCTTAAACACGGTGTGCATTCATCATCAGCAGCAGCAGCCGTGTTAATGAGTACAAAAGCTCAATGTCATCCGTCGCCACGGCAACAGGTACGAACAAAAAACAAGCCACCTCAGCCTCCATCTCTGCCTTTACTACTTCCTCCACCTCTGCCTCCACCTCCACCTCAGCCTCCACCTCAGCCTCCACCTCCACCTCTGCCTCCACCTTCACCTCAGCCTCCACCTGTGCCTCCACCTCACCTCAGCCTCCACCTCAGCCTCCACCTCCACCTGTGCCTCCACCTCCACCTCTGCCTCCACCTTCACCTCAGCCTCCACCTGTGCCTCCACCTTCACCTCTGCCTCCACCTCTGCCTCCACCTCTGCCTCCACCTCTGCCTCCACCTCCACCTGTGCCTCTGCCTCCACCTCCACCTCAGCCTCCACCTTCACCTCAGCCTCTGCCTCCACCTTCACCTCAGCCTCCACCTCTGCCTCCACCTCTGCCTCCACCTCCACCTCTGCCTCCACCTCCACCTCAGCCTCCACCTCTGCCTCCACCTCCACCTGTGCCTCCACCTCACCTCTGCCTCCACCTCCACCTCCACCTCTGCCTCCACCTTCACCTCAGCCTCCACCTCTGCCTCCACCTCTGCCTCCACCTTCACCTCAGCCTCCACCTCTGCCTCCACCTCCACCTCAGCCTCCACCTCCACCTCTGCCTCCACCTGTGCCTCCACCTCCACCTCCACCTGTGCCTCCACCTCCACCTCCACCTCTGCCTCCACCTCCACCTCAGCCTTCACTACTTCCAACATTCATTCCACTAAAGTCCATAAAGAGTAAAGACGTGTGTGATCGGGAGCTAGCTGTGTGTGGATGCTAACGTTAGCTAAAGGCTCAGCTGAGAGAGAGAGAGAGAGAGAGAGAGAGAGAGAGAGAGAGAGAGAGAGAGAGAGAGAGAGAGAGAGAGAGAGAGAGAGAGAGAGAGAGAGAGAGAGAGAGAGAGAGAGAGAGAGAGAGAGAGAGAGAGAGAGAGAGAGAGAGAGAGAGAGAGAGAGAGAGAGAGAGAGAGAGAGAGAGAGAGAGAGAGAGAGAGCTCTTCTTAAATATTTTATCACGATTTTTGAAGTAATGTTTATGTATTGTTTGTTTGTTATTTGTGCATTTCAAGCTACTTTGTGTTATTTATTCATCTGTGACTCTGAATAATTTATTCTGTCATTTGTTAAATAAATAATTTATATTGTATTTGTCTGTATTGTATATTATAAATGATATCTCCAATAAGGAAAGATATTGTTCAAATGTAGAACAGGCCAGTATTACACTTGAATCTCATTCTTTATCTTTCCTGATTTACATTGTGATTTTGTTTGTTGTTTACTCTTCTTCAATAAAGATAAACAAAAAAAACGGCTGAATGCGGCCGGTTTGGGAAACGTAAATGACGTCACTTCCTCACTGAATGAATCAGAAGAAGTAGGAACAAATATCTGCCTCCTGTGTGTGTGTGTGTCTCTGTGTGTGTGTGTGTGTGTGTGTGTGTGTGTCTCTGTGTGTGTGTGTGTGTGTGTGTGTGTGTGTGTGTGTGTGTGTGTGTGTGTGTGTGTGTGTGTGTGTGTGTGTGTGTGTGTGTGTCAGATGTCCGGCTTTCAGGAGGTGACAGATTGGAGAGAGCTGTCAGGACAAACAGCAACATGTGGATACGAAGAGGAGCTCCACCGACAAACACAAGTGCTGGATGTGATTTTAACACCGGAAATCAAGCTGCACAGAGCAGGTTGGTTTGAGCCTTTAGCTAACGTTAGCATCCACACACAGCTAGCTCCCGATCACACACGTCTTCACTCTTTATGGACTTCAGTGGACTGAATGTGGACTCTGAGGTTCAACAACCACTTTAAACTGTTTTTTATCTGTTTATTATCAACGTCAGCATGTCAATAATATTTCTACATATCAGACTCTGACGATGACGGAGGAGGAGGAGGAGGAGCCTGTGACTGACAGACTCAGAGGGTGTGTTTCAATTGTCCCTCCTATCTCCTTCACTATCCACTTCACCTTAACCCCGCGAAAACGTCATGAGGTCAAGGAAAGGTGTTAGGAGAAGTCATAAAGGACTTAAGGAAAGGAGATCTCGTTGCTCCGACAATCCGACCACATTTCCACTAGGCCACGTCATTAAATGCGACGGGCCGGCGGAGGTTAATGACGTGGGTCTGCCGTGTTGAAACTACAATGTTCAGATAATGAACTACAAAAAGATCATCTAAAAAAACTCTTTCTGTGCTTCTTACCAGTGAAATAATCCTGATCAGCACGAGGAAGTGAAATTAAAGAAATATAGACGACCAGACTACAAGTAAGAAAAGTGAAACCATCAGCTTCCTGTCCAATCAGAAATCAACATCAATATGATTGGATGAAATGAATTATTACATTTATGTAAGACAAGAATGTTCAACTGAAGAAATGCACAAAGCATTGTGAAGAGAATGAAATCTGTTGAATCAAACATCCTCTGATAAAAATGTCTCTTATCTTTTATCTCTTTACGATCATCGTTCATGTTCTGATTGAACAGTCGGGTATCTCTGCACAGAAGAACACACACACAGTCATTTCAACAACTTTTCCTGAAAGCACACGTTGAAGAGAAATATTCCTGATCAGCTGTAAACTCTGAGGCGGATCACTTGAGTTAGAAAAGCAGAGAATGGAGGTTCAGAGAGGACGCTCAGGAACTTTTTGATGATTTGGTGTTTTACTCACAGCTTCCCTCCATGTGTCTTTGTGTCTTCAGTGTTTCCTGCAGACGTCCAGCAGCTGTCGGTGGGTGAAGAAGATCCTCATGAGCAGCAGGAGGGGAGCTCCAGTCTGGACCAGGAGGACTCTGAGACTGTGCACATTAAAGAGGAACAGGAGGAACTGTGGAGCAGTCAGGAGGGACTGGAGGAGGCTGATATCAAGTTCCCCTTCACTCCTGTCTCTGTGAAGAGTGAAGATGATGAAGAGAAACCTCAGTCCTCACAGCTTCATCACAGACACACTGAAGAGATGGAAACAGGAGCTGATGGAGAGGACTGTGGAGGACCAGAACCAGAGGGGGACTCAGATCCAGAGAGACGTTTATATCCAGAGACATACAGAAAGAAAGCAGGGTCTTCTAGAACTGAGACCAAAGACCCGAGAGGACGTCAGTCAGGTTTCAAATCTGTGAGAAGAAAGAAACAGAAAGGACTGAAAGCTGATAAGAAATCAAAGCGCTGCTCTCAGGGTCGTAAAACATTTCAAACTGAAGCACATTTAACAAAACACATGGACGTTCTCAAAGGGGGAGGAGTCTTAACCTGCTCTGAGTGTGGAATCATATTCAGTCATAAAAGCAGCCTGGCCCGACACATGATCATTCACAGCGGAGAGAAACGATTCAGCTGCTTCCAGTGTGGGAAAAGATTTACCCTGGCAGGATATCTGACCAAACACATGAGGATCCACGCAGGAGAGAGACCGTTCAGCTGCTCCGAGTGCGGTAAAGGATTTAATGATAAGACCAATATGATCCGACACATGAGGATCCACACTGGAGAGAAACCCTTCAGCTGCTCACTGTGTGAACAAAGGTTCTCCTGGTGCTGTCAGTTACAGAGACACATGCGTGTTGGCTGTCCTTCTTCAGAGACTCATGAGAACCAAACTGAGCTAAACAGAGAGTCAGAAACAGGAGAGGACTGTGGAGGACCAGAACAAGCCAGGAACTCAGATCCAGAGAGACGTTTACATCCAGAGGTTGAAGTCCAGATTGAAGAGTCCTCTGAGACTGATGACAGTGATGATTGGAAGGAGAGCAGAGAACATGAGTCGTTCTTTTTGTCTGTGGAGAATATTAAAGACAAGAGAATGAAGTCGAAGAAGAAATCCCATAAATGTCTACGGTGTGGCAACATTTTCAAAAACATCCGGAATCTGAACCAACACATGAGAATCCACACGGGAGAGAAACCGTTCAGCTGCTCTGAGTGCGGTAAAAGATTTAACAACAAAGCCAATTTGAGCCGACACATGAGACTCCACACAGGAGAGAAACCCTTCAGCTGCTCTGAATGTGATAAATCATTTCAACAGAAGTCTCACCTGACGCTCCACATGGCTCATCACAGAGAGGAGAAACCCTTCAGCTGCTCTGTGTGTGACAAGAAGTTCATTTGGCCCTTTCAGATGAAAAAACACAAGTGTGCTGGAGGTCAGTGTTGAAGCTCCGACAGTCATCGATGAATCATGTTCTCTGAAAAATAACCGACAAAGAGCCGTCGTCTCTCGCTGCTGTAAACACTCTGACCTATCACTGTCACAAGGTCCAGATGGAAAGAACCAATCAAATGGCTCCCGGTGCGATCTCGACCCTCGCCGTACATCGGTCCGCTCTCAAAGCTCTTCACCGCCGGCCGATAGAAGACGATAAAGAAGAAGCTGCTTTTGATTTCCATTTGAAGGAGTTTTGATTCTATTTAATAAACATCTGATGAACGTGTCAGTTTTAAAATCATTTTTTAAATCATGTGTGTGCACCTCACTACAAAACCTTCTTGGAGAGTCTGGGTGAGCGGGGGCCTTGAAGGTCCTCTACAGGGAGGGACTTAGACCCCCATGTGGGTTCTGAATTAGCTCCTGGCGTTGCTTTGCTCCTAGACAGGGAGGTCAGAGGTCAGAGGTCATAAAGACAATTTTGGAACGTGAAATCTGTCTGGACGATGAGCCTGGTAGCTTCTAAAGCCCCGCCCATTAATCTGATTGGCTGCTTCAGTTTAAAGCGTCTGGAGCTAAAAAGTTGAAATAATCATGCGCGCCCATATATGGCGAGAAAACGGCCCATGTAGTAGCAGAGAAGAGCGAGCGGCGTACCCGAGGAGAGCGATGCGTCTCGGTGGGATCAGAACATTTTACATGATGATAAAAAGAGTCTGAATGTTTCATCCATCACTACTTAAAGAAACATTTCAAAAGTGTTCCAGTCAACACGATGACTTCAACAGAGAGCGTGGAGTCTCTCTTATCCTCAGCTCGCCACGTTTCAGATCAGCGTTCTCCCCGTGTCTTCATTTGGTGGTTATGACCTCGTTCAGGTCATCAGATGTGTCTCTGTGACTTA